CCCTGTGGCAAATCTACCTGTCGGCTCTGCGATACGTCCCAAGAAGAAATTTTGATATTTCAATACCCAGTGTAGTGCATCAAACTGACATCTTGTTTCTCCCACATGATGAGGTGAGACGCAAAACGTACAAGTATGCCCTGACCAACGTGGATGCAGGCCACGTCAAAGGGCTTCATTTATAGATACGCTCCAAAGCCTTGGCAACTTGAGTGGAATCTTTAGCTGTTAACGGCTCAGCCGACAAGAGATGGTAACACTGGAAAAACAATCAACGGAATGAGTCTGACGTTTGCCTGGAGTTGTGTCAGTGATCAGTAACGAAGTGACAAGATTAATCGATATAAAAACCATGAGATGCCTTTAAAATGCAATCAGTGACTGTCGAATAGTCTGCACTGTGCAGGGGTAAAGAGCAGAAACTTTCAGGCAGGGTCAGCATGAGCCCGACAAACACGAGGGTGTTAGTCAGCCACATACCACTTACCCCGTATGGTCTATCAAAACGTGCAGTATCGATTGAGTGGATATCAAAGAAGGCCAACCCCATTTGTACTTTCTAAAGAACAGACCACACAGAGGATTCGTGGGAGAGGAACTACTTATACGGTATTACCTCCCTCACTATTAACAAAATAAATATAGCGGACGTCGAACAATGGGCGACGCCGTTTCCGACCATGTTTCAGTTCTGTACCTTCCCTAGCTCTGGCCACCCTGTTACAGCTGGGTACCTTCCCTCAGTTGCACCCTCTCCCAGTCCTGAACATCCAATAGCTCTGGCCACTCTATTACAGCTGTAAACGCTCCCTCAGTTTCACCCTCTCACGGCCGTATACTTTCCCTATCTAGGTCCACACTTTCCCAGTTCTGAACCTTCCCTAGCTCTAAACACACTGTAGGGCCCCATCCCTCTCCCGATTGCAGGACTCTCCTCTTCATGTAGAGTCCCACCCCTCTACCCTGCTCCCCAACTGCAGGCCCTACCTACCCATGTAGAGCCTTTTTTGTCCATGTATGTATGTATGTATGTATGTATGTATGTATGTATGTATGTATGTATGTATGTATGTATGTATGTATGTATGTATGTATGTATGTATGTATGTATGTATGTATGTATGTGTGTGTGTGTGTGTGTGTGTGTGTGTGTGTGTGTGTGCATGCATGCATGCATGCATGTATGTATGTAAGCATGAACCTATATAAACAGAACCTCTTCACTACCCTGAAGAGCCGTTGATCATGTTGATCATCTATCTATTACCTATCTGTCTATATTAAAGAATGAATCTCTAGTATATATATATATATATATATATATATATGGCGTTTGAGGTTGCTCATGATATCAATCACTGGCATTAAAGCGTTCTCTTGTCACGTCGAAAACCCTATTTCGATTCCTCAAGTGGGTACTGTATGTAAAGTCCCTTTCTGGTGTCCCCAGTCTGGATATTGCTGACATATTACTAAAGGTGGTGTAAAACAATATCCAATCACTCATGAACACGATATAACGCGTTTCTTTGTTGCAAGTACTTGGAAGTAGGAATTATAAACATTACCTCTTCCCTAAACCTGCAGCGCCGTTGATCTGTCTGTCTGTCTAAAGATTATCTCTTCATTACGAATGAAGGGCCTTTGATCTATCTATTCATCCATATAAAAATGACCGCTACATTACACCTGAAGAGCCTTTGATCTATCTATCTATCAATATAAAGATTACCTCATCATTACACCTGAAGACTCTTTGATCTATCTGTCTATTCACATGAAATATTTGAATATATTATATATATATATATATATATATATATTCTTTATATAGCATTTGGGATTTCTCATAGTATCAATCACATAGTATTAATCACTGGTTAGTATGTATAAAATATATATTCTTTGGGATGAAATCACTTTCAAGTGCACATAATAGTTTCAGACAGAAAAATGATATTTAAGTGCCAGAATTCCCTCACTATCTTTACGACGTGGGTGTGTGATGGAGAGGACGACTGCGGGGACGGGAGCGATAAGAGACAATGTTGTAAGCCTGTTTAACAATAGAGCAGACGAATAGAAAAAACTGTCACATTCCGAACATAAATAGATCTATGGTTATTAAAGCGTTCTCTTGTCACGTCGAAAACCCTAGTTCGATTCCTCAAGTGGGTATTGTATGTAAAGTTCCCTTTCTGGTGTCCCCAGTCTGGATATTGCTGACATATTACTAAAGGTGGTGTAAAACAATATCCAATCACTCATGAACACGATATAACGTGTTCCTTTGTTCCAAGTACTTGGAAGTAGAAATTATAAACATTACCTCTTCCCTAAACCTGCAGCGCCGTTGATCTGTCTGTCTGTCTAAAGATTATCTCTTCATTACGAATGAAGGGCCTTTGATCTATCTACCTATCCATATAAAAATGACCTCTACATTACACATGAAGAGCATTTGATCTATCTATCTATCCATATAAAGATTACCTCATCAGTACACCTGAATACCCTTTGATCTATCTGTCTATTCATATACAGAATTATATATATATATATATATATATCATTTGGGATTTCTCATAGTATCAATCAAATAGTATCAATCACTGGTTAGTATTTATAAAATATATATTCTATGGGAAGAAATCACTATCATGCATACATAATTGTTTCAGACACATATCCCAGATTCAGGTGCCAGAATTCCCGCACTATCTTAACGACGTGGGTGTGTGATGGATACGACGACTGCAGGGACGGGAGCGATGAGAGCCAGTGTGGTAAGCCTGTTTAACAATAGAGCAGACAAATAAGAAAAACTGTCACATTCCGAACATGAATAGATCTATGGTTATTAAAGCGTTCTCTTGTCACGTCGAAAACCCTAGTTTGATTCCTCAAGTGGGTACTGCATGTAAAGTTCCCTTTCTGGTGTCCCCAGTCTGGATATTGCTGACATATTACTAAAGGTGGTGTAAAACAATATCCAATCACTCATGAACACGATAGAACGTGTTCCTTTGTTCCAAGTACTTGGAAGTAGAAATTATAAACATTACCTCTTCCCTAAACCTGCAGCGCCGTTGATCTGTCTGTCTGTCTAAAGATTATCTCTTCATTACACATGAAGGGCCTTTGATCTATCTACATATCCATATAAAAATGACCTCTACATTACACATGAAGAGCATTTGATCTATCTATCTATCCATATAAAGAATACCTCATCATGACACCTGAATACCCTTTGATCTATCTGTCTATTCATATAAAGAATTATATATATATATATATATATATATATATATATATATATATATATATATATATATTATATAGCATTTGGGATTTCTCATAGTATCAATCACATAGTATCAATCACTGGTTAGTATTTATAAAATATATATTCTATGGGAAGAAATCACTATCATGCATACATAATTGTTTCAGACACATATCACAGATTCAGGTGCCAGAATTCCCTCACTATCTTTCCGACGTGGGTGTGTAATGGACACGACGACTGCGGGGACCGGAGCGATGAGAGCCAGTGTGGTAAGCCTGTTTAACAATAGAGCAGAGAAATAGGAAAAACTGTCACATTCCGAACATGAATAGATCTATGGTTATTAAAGCGTTCTCTTGTCACGTCGAAAACCCTAGTTCGATTCCTCAAGTGGGTATTGTATGTAAAGTTCCCTTTCTGGTGTCCCCAGTCTGGATATTGCTGACATATTACTAAAGGTGGTGTAAAACAATATCCAATCACTCATGAACACGATATAACGTGTTCCTTTGTTCCAAGTACTTGGAAGTAGAAATTATAAATATGACCTCTTTCCTAAACCTGCAGCGCCGTTGATCTGTCTGTCTGTCTAAAGATTACCTCTTCATTACACATGAAGGGACTTTGATCTATCTACCTATCCATATAAAAATGACCTCTACATTACACATGAAGAGCATTTGATCTATCTATCTATCTATATAAAGATTACCTCATCAGTACACCTGAATACCCTTTGATCAATCTGTCTATTCATATACAGAATTATATATATATATATATATATATATATATCATTTGGGATTTCTCATAGTATCAATCACATAGTATCAATCACTGGTTAGTATTTATAAAATATATATTCTATGGGAAGAAATCACTATCATGCATACATAATTGTTTCAGACACATATCACAGATTCAGGTGCCAGAATTCCCGCACTATCAATACGACGTCGGTGTGTGATGGATACGACGACTGCGGGGACGGGAGCGATGAGAGCCAGTGTGGTAAGCCTGTTTAACAATAGAGCAGAGAAATAGGAAAAACTGTCACATTCCGAACATGAATAGATCTATGGTTATTAAAGCGTTCTCTTGTCACGTCGAAAACCCTATTTCGATTCCTCAAGTGGGTACTGTATGTAAAGTCCCTTTCTGGTGTCCCCAGTCTGGATATTGCTGACATATTACTAAAGGTGGTGTAAAACAATATCCAATCACTCATGAACACGATAGAACGCGTTTCTTTGTTGCAAGTACTTGGAAGTAGAAATTATAAACATTACCTCTTCCCTAAACCTGCAGCGCCGTTGATCTGTCTGTCTGTCTAAAGATTATCTCTTCATTACGAATGAAGGGCCTTTGATCTATCTATTCATCCATATAAAAATGACCTCTACATTACACCTGAAGAGCCTTTGATCTATCTATCTATCAATATAAAGATTACCTCATCATTACACCTGAAGACTCTTTGATCTATCTGTCTATTCACATGAAGAATTATATATATATATATATATATATATATATATATATATATATATATATCATTTGGGATTTCTCATAGTATCAATCACATAGTATTAATCACTGGTTAGTATGTATAAAATATATATTCTTTGGGATGAAATCACTTTCAAGTGCACATAATTGTTTCAGACAGAAAAATGATATTTAAGTGCCAGAATTCCCTCACTATCTTTACGACGTGGGTGTGTGATGGAGAGGACGACTGCGGGGACGGGAGCGATGAGAGCCAGTGTGGTAAGCCTGTTTAACAATAGAGCAGAGAAATAGGAAAAACTGTCACATTCCGAACATGAATAGATCTATGGTTATTAAAGCGTTCTCTTGTCACGTCGAAAACCCTAGTTCGATTCCTCAAGTGGGTATTGTATGTAAAGTTCCCTTTCTGGTGTCCCCAGTCTGGATATTGCTGACATATTACTAAAGGTGGTGTAAAACAATATCCAATCACTCATGAACACGATATAACGTGTTCCTTTGTTCCAAGTACTTGGAAGTAGAAATTATAAATATGACCTCTTTCCTAAACCTGCAGCGCCGTTGATCTGTCTGTCTGTCTAAAGATTATCTCTTCATTACACATGAAGGGACTTTGATCTATCTACCTATCCATATAAAAATGACCTCTACATTACACATGAAGAGCATTTGATCTATCTATCTATCTATATAAAGATTACCTCATCAGTACACCTGAATACCCTTTGATCTATCTGTCTATTCATATACAGAATTATATATATATATATATATATATCATTTGGGATTTCTCATAGTATCAATCACATAGTATCAATCACTGGTTAGTATTTATAAAATATATATTCTATGGGAAGAAATCACTATCATGCATACATAATAGTTTCAGACACATATCACAGATTCAGGTGCCAGAATTCCCGCACTATCTTAACGACGTTGGTTTGTGATGGATACGACGACTGCGGGGACGGGAGCGATGAGAGACAATGTTGTAAGCCTGTTTAACAATAGAGCAGAGAAATAGGAAAAACTGTCACATTCCGAACATGAATAGATCTATGGTTATTAAAGCGTTCTCTTGTCACGTCGAAAACCCTATTTCGATTCCTCAAGTGGGTATTGTATGTAAAGTTCCCTTTCTGGTGTCCCCAGTCTGGATATTGCTGACATATTACTGAAGGTGGTGTAAAACAATATCCAATCACTCACGAACACGATAGAACGTGTTCCTTTGTTCCAAGTACTTGGAAGTAGAAATTATAAATATGACCTCTTTCCTAAACCTGCAGCGCCGTTGATCTGTCTGTCTGTCTGAAGATTACCTCTTCATTACACATAAAGGCCCTTTGATCTATCTACCTATCCATATAAAAATGACCTCTACATTACACATGAAGAGCATTTGATCTATCTATCTATCCATATAAAGATTACCTCATCAGTACACCTGAATACCCTTTGATCTATCTGTCTATTTATATAAAGAATTTGGGATTTCTCATAGTATCAATCAAATAGTATCGATCACTGGTTAGTATTTATAAAATATATATTCTATGGGAAGAAATCACTATCATGCATACATAATTGTTTCAGACACATATCTCGAATTCAGGTGCCAGAATTCCAACGGTATCCTTACGCTGTTGGTGTGTAATGGACACGACGACTGCAGGGACGGGAGCGATGAGAGCCAGTGTGGTACGCCTGTTTAACAATAGAGCAGACACATAGGAAAAACTGTCACATTCCGAACATGAATAGATCTATGGTTATTAAAGCGTTCTCTTGTCACGTCGAAAACCCTAGTTCGATTCCTCAAGTGGGTATTGTATGTAAAGACCCTTTCTGGTGTCCCCAGTCTGGATATTGCTGAAATATCTGGGAGTAGAATAGTGGTTGGTGTCTTTGGCAGGATGAAAACCAAATAGAAGCAATGTTCAATGGTCTCGGTCTTCTGTCCATAAGAGGATGATCTGGGATTTTCCATTTCTCACTCTCTCGCTGTTTTGATCACAACTGAGAGAACACGTCCTGTGAAACTTCAATTCGCCTGGCCCTCAGTCTCCTCAGAAGTTACATAAGAACGTAAGGGCTTTTTGTCACCATCCTGTTGTGAGGCACACTGAACTATATATATATACATTCATGTATATTTACTCATTTATTGGGTCTTTTTGTCCCTTTGTTGTTTAACGCCGCACACAACAATATTCCGTATGGCGGGAGTCTGATTATATTGGGGCGGTGGGTAGCCTAGTGGTTAAAGCGTTGGCTCGTCACGTCGAAGACCCGGGTTCGAATCCCCACATGGGCCCATTGTGTGACGTAATTTCTGGTGACCCGGCCGTGATATTGCTGGAATATTGCTAAAAACGATGTAAAACCATACTCAATGTATCCACCAAGTCAGCAAGTCTGACCACCCGATCCTGTTTGTCGCCTGTAACGAAAAGCATGGATTGCTGAAGTTGAACTCTAATCCGGATCTTCACGGGTGGCTCTCTGGAGACAAGCCATGAATACGGCGGAACCACTCTGACCGTATATCAACCGACCAATACGTACACGTTATGTTGTAATATTTTTGAAAGCCCATACCCTTTCACGGCGGGGAGTAGCCTCGTGGTTAAAGCGTCACGCTAAAGACCCAGGTTCGATTCTTCACGTGGGTCATGTCCACACTACCCGATCCTGTTCGTCGCCTCTTACGAAAAGCAGGGATTGCTTCTAACCCCAATCCTTACGGGTATTGATTTATGACATTTGAGACATCTATCATCAAAGTGACATTTCTTGATTATGTTTGGGACTTAGACATTTCAGGTGTATATGTTTCAGTGTTAATAGTCATGATTCGCATAAGTCTACGGAACAAATCTTCATGTACAGATATGTTTCCTGAACCTGTTGTAGAATTTCGTCCTGTTAATTGTAGTTGAAACAGAAGGTTTAACTAGATGCATAACGGTATAATGATACGTTGGAAAGGGTCTTTGTGCGCGATTAGTAAACTTACATGTAATATACTAGAACATAAGGCTATGCGTTCCACATACATGATTAAATTGACGTGTTATGATTCTGCATATTTAACAGGGGATTGCACAACCCCAGCAAGTACGAGGGCGACATCTCCTTCAACAACAACGAAGCCAACTACAACAGTCGTTATTCCGGGTGAGAACCTTTTCAAAAATCTTTTTCGGAATAGTAAACGGAACAAACGGTTAACAACAGGGAAACACACAGACACCGACACAGACACAGACACCCTGCTCATTTTACATCATCACTTGAGTATTTGTGAGGATTATTGGACAAGAAAAACATAAACTACTGTATGTCCTGAAGCAGTGTCCGAGTCGGTTATGAACTGGTCGGTACCTAATAAATGAGAGGTCTGATTTGGTGGTCATTTTCAATACTGACGACATGCGTGTAATGTCTCTCTTGTTTGTCTGACCTAATGAGTACAACATCCCAATCCTTCAAAAATACTTTCCGAAGAAGTAATTTCTTTGCAGTGTTAAATTATATATTTCCCTAGTTTGTATGGTCTCAGTGTGTTACATTCAATATAACTGCTTGTAGAAAAGCTGTGTCCTGAAATCACAGACTCCAGAGGAACAGAGTGGCCTCAGACTGTTGGAAATACGACCATGGTGCGGCCCTGTCCTGGGGGATTTCAAGGTATGTTTGTTGAGGTGTTTTGGAAAGGGCTGATGACGCCTGTGTCTTTATACATACATGGTTGAACTTACTCTTGCTTTGTGAATGAGAGGTATAACGCTTTGAATGGTAACCCATGTGAGTGCTGGGTAATGTAAATTACGGATAAAACGAACTCACAGGAACCACTTAATTTAGTTCGCTATAACAGTAGTACGTTATCCACTCTAAAATGTACAGCAAATGGTATTTCAGGGTATTTCGCCATTGTGGCAGGACTGTCGATACGGTACAGAGGAACTAAGGATAATACTAAGGGCGATAATGGGATTCAAACCCAAGTCAGTTTATCCTGGCATGGCTGATACTAGTCAACAATATTTTTGTATTGTCCGAATATCTGTTCATGCCTAAACAGTAAGAGAAAAGAGTCTGAGACCTACATTACTCGCCTGTGTCAAGTTTGCCTAATGCACGCCGAAAATATTCTCTGCTGCTGCCAGTACAGCCAGCCCAGTCGCAGACTGATCGGTACAGTGTAAGGTATACGGTGCAATATATTGTAGAGTTTATCAGCTTTACAGTGTAAGGTATACGGTACAATAGGGCCCGTAAGTCTCGCGAGGCGCTACTTCCGCTACTAGATTTCCGGTGACAAGCGAATACGCAAGAAACAGTTGTGGTGCCAATTTTTTTTATAAATATATGAACTTTCCCATTTATGGTGACGTTTTTATTCACACAAGAAGTCATAGTGTCACAAATCAATCAACAGCTCGACAAAATAACCTTGATGGCATGGTAACAATTATTTCGGTTACTACTGTCAGATATTCAAAACAAAAATGTGAAAACCCTCATGAATATTCATCATGAAACAATTATTTATCAAATTATGTTAACATTATTTTAGAGGTGATATATATAACCTGGTTGTTGGACAATATTTATTACACTTTGTACTAGATGTCTTGGAGTGAGTGAACTATGTACTATGATCTAAAGGACATGAGTGTTACTTAGTTCTTGGTTATGCAGGGGTGAGGTTCTGCTATGCTGTAAGCAAATTATGAAGCAGCACACAGCACCTTCAAGTCACATGTGTCAAAAATGCAAGACTAAATACACTCAAAATATGGAGTAATCACTCAAGACACTTCCTGTATTGTAAAATATACTGATCAGTACATGGGGAAACTAAATGTGCATATATACTATGTCATGACTGTAGATTCTGCAGACACTGGCTGATAGCAGCATGAGTATGATTACTTGTCATGTTTATAGTGTTTTTCACCCATTTTTAGTAACTTATATATTCCAAATATTCTTCCAATGAGGCCAAGGTTGGTAACTGGCATTCCATATTTTCCACTATACAGTTAGACCAATATGTTTTAAAATAATGGAAAAGAATAATGTGTACTGGTTATTGTGCTATGAACCAGTGTTGTAATCTTACAGCAAATAAAAACTAAGAATTTCATATTTCAACAAAATTGCATGTCATGTAGAATCACGTGCCTATGCCATTGATTAAGTTTAACTTTTCATTGGTAAGCATGTTTTTTCATGGAAACTGTAGTAGTAGGGTAACCTAGTGGTTAAACTGTTGACACTTGCCACACTGGTTTGATTCCCCACATGTGTGCAAAGTGTGAAGCCCATTGCTGCTCTCCCCAGCATGATGTTGCTGGAATATTGCTAAAAGCGATGTAAAACCCAACTCTCTCACTTGGTAACCTTTGCTACATACACTGAAAATCTAATCTCCTACATCCATCATTGTATATGTACTGTCAAATCAATATCATGGCTAAAAGCAGAAATCTTCCAAACCATTCAATTTGTGCTTGCTTTATCCACACTTAAAAACAATAAACAAGTTTTAGAACTTTTCTGCAATTTTATTCCAAAGACATAATTACTCATAACATATCAAACATTCTTTGCATTTCCCAGATGCTAAACCTGAAAAAATACTGTAACAGTATCATCTGGAATACAAATGTTCTTTCATGGTCACTCATCTAAATTCTCACTGAATTATCTGAGAGTCCCAAGATGTCAAGACTTTCCACAACACCTTGCTGGTTACAAGCATTTCCTGTTCAAGCAAGTGTCCAAAGGATGATGTGTAGGGCTTTAATGTTTCATAACAGTACATACAACACTTCAATGACTTGCTGTTTCTTCATTTGCAATGTATATTGCTTGACCACCAGATGTTAAAAGAAATCTGAAGATCTGTTTCAGTTTGTGTTGCTCTTGATGTCAATGGTAATTGTGGTGATAAAGAAATCTATTCCTCCTTCTTTCTCCTCTTAAAGATGTGCATCTGTTCCAACTGAAAAAAATACATAACACACGTGAGACCAAGTATGATATACTTAATAAAATGTAAACAGTTCCTTACAATGTTGACATCAAGATATTATTGATAAATCAAGCATGTGGATGTTATGTTTAACTGAACATGCTGCACCATAACCAAATGCTAAATAGGGTTGTAATAATATATTAATCAAGCTCATATTACAGAATACATTTGTGAAAGACACCTATTCAGAGCTATTGGTATCAATAAAAGTTTGGATATATTCATCATTGTTTACATGCTATTAAATTATTATTTAATTCATTACATTTATTTTTAGAACTACACCTGGATTTTCATTGCACATTAAGTTATCTTCTGGATAATTCCAACTGCAAGATACTTTATTTATAAACACTGTTTTTTTGGTACACATGCATTATAACGGATACCTGCCTGCCTGAAGTACGTACATATGTTGTGTGCTCTTTACTTTATCTCATTACAGGTTTAATTAATTGCCTGCATAAATATAAGTAACAGCACATTACACCAAAAGTGTTTATGAATTATACATATATTATATTTAATTGTTAATTTCGCACCGATTCACGAGGTTACCGGGGTCGATTTTAGCCCGTCATTAGATGAGCTTTTGAGACCACCTCACAAGCACATTTTGAAAAGATTTTCAATGGAGTATAAAAATGTTTGCACCTTTATAAAATAAAATGATGCCAATTATTTCTAGGAAAATCCATTGAGGTTTCGTTTATAACATGACTTAAGTTAAGATCAAAATCAAGATGGTTTCTTAAATCGGCATAGGCGTCACATATTAATAACAGATGAATTTCGTCCTTGATATCCGCCATACAGACAGGGCAAAATCTTAGATGTTTGGAGAGTGACTGTTATTGATCACTACATCTGTCAAACCCAGTCTAAATCTAATAACTGTATTTCTAATTTTCTTGCTTGTAATGTTTGATAGATATCTCTCAGGTTCGATCATTGTTTTAAAGGATTTATGTATACTAGAACTTAAATTAAGGGTATTCATCCAATTCTGACGAAACGTATCAACGGCTCTTTGACGAAATTCGTTCACAAACAGACACTCGTTACCAACACCTTGGAAAATCCACACATATCCAAATCCATATGAAAATAACAGATATCTTATATTTGATGGCCATGTTACATAGCCAAGATTATCTAAATTTAGCAGCATGTTATAAGATTTTCTGGGTAGACGCTGTTCATGCATTCTCAGTATTTTGAACCAATATTTTATGCAACGAAGGTGTGAGTTTATATAAAGTGGGTATCTTCCTCATTCTCCATATACCATATAGTTTGGTGCTGTAATGTTAACATTGAGGAACTTCTTACATGCCAATAGATGTATTTTTCCATCGGTTCAAAAGCCTGAAAACACCATAGTTCTGCCCCATACAAAAGCATTGGTCGAATCTGGGCAACGGAAAGTTAAAAAAAATATCTTTGGTGTTATTGGCGCTTATGGATAAAGTGATGAAAGTAAATAACCTAGAGCTTTTGATACTTTTGCTGATAAAGCAACAGCAGTTTTACCCATATTCAATGTATAATTAGAAAGAACTCCAAGATATTCATATTCAGAAACTATTTGCATTGTAATGCTGTTGTAAAACCATTTTTCGCTATCAGCGAGTTGTCCACCCCTTCTAAATACAACAATATTTGACTTATCAAGTTTAACATCTATTCTCCATTCTTTCAAGTAGTTCCCCAAAATGTCAAATTGGTTCTGTAAACCTACCACTGAGTCCAATACTAATATCACGTCGTCAGCAAACAGTAACATTAAAATCTCCAAAATATCAGGATATAGTTGTACACCATGTTTGCCGTTATGAACTATTTCATCTTGTAATTTACTAATGAAGAAGGAAAAAAGAATGGGACTTAACAACATCCTTGCTTCACACCCAATGGGCATTAGAATAGTCAGTGAATCCTCCATTGTTACGTGCACAAGCCTTTACGCTGGCATAAACACCTTGTAACATAGATAACATGTTCCCATCTAGTACCGCCCGGGCGGGACTAGAATGACCTAATTTGGCAATAAACAAAGAACAATGAATAGTTAGGAAATTTATGAATTGTTTTCAAAAGCTTATATGATCAAAGTCTAAAAACTAAACTGACGTAGGATTATGCTATAATGTCTATACAAAGTTCCTACATTTTAGACGACACTTTGGCCAGGAAACCGAGTGGTTGAGAGTGTGAACGACTATCCTCCGGGTCACGGTGACCCACAAACAGCAGGCCACAAACTAACCATCTGTTATAGGTGAATCCACACAATTAGACAAAATTGTTTGTGCAGTGACCTATTTAACCTTGAAGGTAACGTTCGACGTGTCTGTGACGTGACTGGAGAGTGGGAAGATCTGAACTACATAACCTGCGTGAGAGACGAGATAGCCAAAATAGAGGAAGAGGTTAGTAACGATCACACACTACGAGGTGGTGGGTGTGTGCGCACGTGTGTGGGGGGTGGGGTGGGGTGGGGTTGGGGGTTGGGGTTGGGGGTTGGGGTTGGGGTAAAAGTTTTTTGAGAACTTGATATACAGTTAACAGTCCAAGCAGGTTTCGAACTTTTATATTTCACCATAGTCTCCCTTCTGTTCAATACACTTTATCCATTTGTGCTGCAAGTTGACAATGACCTGAAAATAGAAGTCTTTTGACTCAGACTGGTCCCTAATCCAAGCTTCTCCTGTAGCCTTGAGTTCTTCATTGGCAAATCGTCTTCCACGCAAGTGAGACTTCATATTTCGAAACAGGTTATAATCACTGGGTGCCAGGTCAGGACTGTACCCGTGGATTCTGCTTGCGTTGGTGCCCTCTAGTGTGAAGACATGAACTACGGCTCTGTACTCAGTTATACAATTCTCCATGACACCAGTAGGTTATCTCTCTTCCAGTTATCACAATATTAATACTGTTCGTTGTGAGGTGTTGAAACTTTCACAGGTATCTCATGAAGGACCAATGTTTGCGGGTAGATCCGGGTTACAAGTGGCCTTCAGCAACCCATGCTTGTCGAACAGGTGACTAACAGGATCAGGTGGACACATGTTACGTATCCCATTTGCGTCGATCGATGCTCATGATGTTCATCAGCGGATTGTCTGGTCAAGACCCCGTTACAGACTGCCGCCATATAGCTTGAATATTGCTAAGTGTGGCGTTTAACAACAGACAAATAAAACACAAACATTCTCAGACAGCTGATAACGGTTGAGGTTAGTGAAGCACCTCACCTTTGTAATAATACACATCGATCGATTACTTTTTTCAACGGGATCGTAAAACAATATGAACAAGAACATACCAATAGCCATTATGTGTAACGTTCGAATTTAGATATCTGCGGTCACTGATACAGGAAGAGGTTAACTAAACAGCGAACCTCCCTGATGAAACACAATTTCCATTCGTCGATATATACTAAATCCGTTCAAGAATACTAACACACCAGTGGTCAGTTGTTGTACCTCTTGTCTTTAGGTAGCTTCGATCACCGAAGGAGTTGTGTCCAGTGAAGCTATCAAGAATGTGCTGGAGAAGCTGCAGGAGGTTACCAAGGTCAACGACTCCACTGCAGGGGATCTAGACAAATCTATTGACCTTGTGGACACGCTGGCCACTGCAGTGAGCAAGTCTGCTTCACCAATTGTAGTGGACACTGCTACAGCACAGGTATACATACTAATATTTACACAGCGCTTTATTTTCCCTCGATCATTGGATGTAAATCTCAACGGCGCATCATATTTTTCAACCTCACCTCCCTGGGGTTCACACAACTCTGGCAACTACTAGGCGTACCAAAGTTAATGTGGCTTTCCCATCCTTACAAGGTACCCATTCACAGCTTTGTGGCCTGGGACACATAGTCACAGTACTTTGTCCAAGTTTACTGCACGTTGCTGTACCCGCAACTAGATGTTTGCCCATGTTCATGTGGCCACCATCTGGTCATTTACCAACGGATTCAGGAGGTGCATAGGATTGTGTACAGTAAACTAGGGGCTATGACAATACTGAAAGAGGCTGCACACAAAGTTGACTCCAAGGGTTTTTACCTGTATTTATACATACGTGTACACAAACGTACCTCTATCCACATATGATTATGGGTAACTGGCCAGGAAATTCAAAACGGTAACCCCAGAGAACAACACTTCTCGATTATGTGCAGTAAAAAGGACGCATAAGGCAAAATAGCGGTGAAAACGCTACGAATATGATCAGTGTCAGAATTCCTTAATGAAGGTGAAAGTTGTCAGAATTGTGGTAACTTGTTTGTTAGGATGAAGAATATTGCATCAGTTAGTAAGTAAACCCTAAAATATTAAAGTAAGAGGAACCTTTGTAGCAAGACGTAGGATAGCTTACCAGTAAATGTTTATGATACTGGTAAACTGTACGTCGACTTGTTGCTACTTAGTAAAACTGTAAGGTACTTTATCAACAAAGGATAGGACGTTATTTAACACCGTGTAAGTGAAAGTGTTTGTCTTGTTGCTAAAAGTGTAAGGCACCTCATTGATAAGTAGATGTGCGTTGTCTTGGTTGTGATATGTTGGGTACTTAAGTTGTAAGATATTTGAATACCTGCTTGTAAAATGCTGGGTATTTAAGTTGTAAGAATTCGGGTACCTAGATTAGGCAAACTTGCTAGTAAGGTGTAGGGTACCTTGCTAGTAAGGTGCAGAGTAAGGTAGTAAGGTGTAGAGAGCTTTGGTAATAAGATGTGAGGTACCCTGTTAGTAAGCTGTAGGGTACCTTGATAATAAGCTGTAGGGTACCTAGAAAGAAACGTCTAGGTACCGTGATATTAAGATGTATGGTACCTTGGTAGTAATCTGTAGGGTACCCTGAAAGTAAGGTGTAGGTACCTAATAGTACGGTGTCGGGTACCTTGGTAGTAAGGTGTAAGGGTACCTTGATAGGAAGGTGTAGGGTACCTTAATAGTAAAGTGTTTGGTACCTTGAAAGTAAGGTGTATGGTACCTTGGTAGATATGTGGAGGGTTAATATCCTTGTAACACAATTTAGGGTACCTTAGTAGGCACGAGGTGTATACACTAGTAGAGGTGTAAGCTATTTTATTCATAGGTGTTAGAGGACCCTTGTAAATGTAGGTGTAGCTAAGAAGAAAATCAGACAATTTGTGGGTGGGCGTACTCTGTTGAGGATCAGGGGTTTTTCACACATCAACAGGAGGTGGGTTGATCCTATTGCAAGCCCGTGTTAAACATATCCTTGCTCTCTGTATCGACATGTTGTTCCACCTATGTGCTTCGGTGTGTCAACACTTCCTCGTGTGTTTCAGGTATCTACATATTCCATCTAAGCTGGCTCGCCAAACATCGAGTAGGACAGAAACACTTAACAATGTTCAGTCTGACACACATCGGAAGTGGGCACTGTCGCAAATAGATAGAAATGATTCCATCTTGTGACAGGAATATGTTAACCAAAGAAAGGTCTCCAACAGACACACTTAGTGTCTTTCTGTTTCTGATAAACCTGAAAAGATGTTGTCATCTTTTGGGACATTAACAAAATATTTTAACTTATCAACTTTTCTCATAGAATAAAAAGACAGCGGATCAGAAAATGTATGCCGTCATTCCATTTGGTTTACAACTCACAAAACCTTCATAAGCATTTGATAACAAGGTCAAGCTTGTTAAACTCGTTTTGGAAAGTCTTTTCAGTGACATCACCAGCTTTCTTTTGGTTAAACCCACAAGCAAGGAGTTTGGTGCTGACAAACCAAGAATAAAAACCAGGGTATAACAGGGATTCGAACTTACAGGGTATATGTTTACAGCCCGGCTAAGGGAGTCGGTTATACGACACCATTGTCCAAGCTTTAAACCCAGTTAACAGCAGAATGATTTTATCGTAGTAACAGAATACAAGTAAACTTGCATAGTAGAGCAGTTTACCTAACTCTGCCTACTTCAAATACTTTGAATACTCTTCTCACACATCGTTACGCTGAACTCATTTCACACTTCCTGTACTGCACAATTCCACATTAGGAGGGAAAATTGCTTAGAACATCAGTGCTTCTGGGAATTAACAGCTGACAACTGTATTGTGCATACAGAGAAACTGAACATTTATAACTTATGTCAATGATTTCTACTTTCAGTCCTTTGTTAATGTGGTTGACAACATCCTGTCTGTTGACACCAGTAAAGAGGACTGGCAGCAAGTTCAGAAAAGAGTGAGTTTGTAATTTATATTGTGATAAGTAATTATGTGATTATGAATACAAAAAAGCTTGCAATCGTCAACCATAAGTAGTAATAGTAATGGCTAACAGGACAGGGCGCCATACTTGGGTCTTGTACTTTTCCTTTTGCGGTAACCTGCTTTGTTTCTTTTAACGCCTGGTCCTTAGTGTGTATAATAGTTTATATCTTAGTATCATGTACATTAACATCTACTCTTTCTGCTAGTCATCAGTGACTGATTTGCATATGTATTTTTGTTTCTCATTTATAATATTTGTTCTTTTGTATTAGTCGTCGGAAAGTGATATTGATATACAATGTTTATTCATAATGCAGGAATTTAACCATCCCAAAACTTTATAATTTAATAAAATGCAATTTCAATTGCCACAAATCATAAAGACTAAACTTCATGGAATGTGCACAGATATATATGACGTCACAAATATGTGCATACATCACAAGCTTCGTGACACAATTTTCTACTGATCACTCAATTGATGGCGTTAGATAATCTAGTTCAGAATAAGTTTATATGCTAGAACACATATTGTTGTCAACTAATCTCAGCTTACTTTTGAAAAATAACAACAAATAAGTATCTCGCATGGTTTTACGTCCGCTCTTTCAGTTAGTCATCAGAAACTGATATTGCCCACTGTCAAGAGATAGTACATCTGCACTCTAAAATAATAGATGTAGAAACAACTATTCTACCATGGCTACGTGAAATGCTCGATTCTGATTTGTCAATCAATGAAATTAGATGCTATCAATTTTGGATTGAAAATTCGTCTGATTTCATTACCACTTCACTGCGCACGTTAACAACACTGCCGCATTACTTCAGCTTGACCACCAACATTACTAATGTCAACACACCAGACGTGATGGAAATGATGATAAAACATTTATTAAAACTCGAAAAATACAATTAGTATATGATTTTTCCTCCACAATTATTAGGGTACTCACTATCATATTACCTCCTATGACAAAAATATTCAAACTCAATTACAATACACAGCCCCAAATATAAACAAACAATATCTAACATATAAATCAGAAAGCCTTGTAAAAATTCATCCTTATCTATACAAAATGTGCAGCAAATCGTTAGTAAACATTTACCTACCTGGTAAGTGGTATTATTGTTTCCGTTTAGAATCATAAGAATGGGAAATTCGCAAGATGACGGTCAGGCGAAACACCAAATTTATGCCACTCATACTCCATCATCACTGTACCTAAGGTGATGCTGGTAACGCATGTTACCAGCATCCGATCATGGCGGCAGGTAAGGTCGCTTGGCGATTATTCCCACGAATTAGCAGCCATCCACGTGTATACAATCAACATTATTTAGCACACTGATAAACTTTGATGGTGGAAATACATTGAATGCACTGAATTTGCTTATTAATGCCTATGTGTTGAAGAATAAGCATTTTTAAAATCGCGCAAGGATGTCGGTAACTCAAAGTCTGGATGTCGGTAACATGCAATGAATGATGCTGGTAACGCATACTGTCTTGCTTTAGCCGGCAAACAGAAATTGTCGAGTTATGTTTAAACACAAAGGAGACACAAATATCAGTTCTTATGTTTTACACAGATGTGTACTGCTGCTACATGTACATTAACAGTATGAGTGACTTTCTCTGTGCGCCGATCTTACCTGCCGCCATGTTGGGACACAGTGATCATGTCCCGTTGCATCGTTAAATAAATACATGTCAAAAATTGAACCACCAGAATTCTGCTCTCTGCCAGCTTCCCCACAAGACTGTCACTGCTGGTGATCTATGTTCGTACACTTTGAAAAAAGTTGGCCACAATCGAGTCCCAAATGATGAAAAGAATGTTCCAAGGAATCCAAAGTTTGTTGCATGTACACAAAACATCACTGTCACACTCTTCGTCGCATGCCGGGGTGGAGGCACCTTAGTGAAATCATGATCCACACTCGCTGGTCGTGCAACTCTTTGAATAGTTACAGAAAAGGATCTATTCTTCGATTCTGCAGGGTTCAGATTCGACAGCCAGTGAAGTATTTTCCACTGTCACTTCAAATTTCAACCTTTCGCAAAATGTAAACACTGGCTCGTCCGCCATTTCACACTGTTGCGTAACTGTCAACAACTACAGACTACACTTCCAAGAATAAATAAGTAGGTCAGCCGATTCCATTATAGTGTCGCCCGCGGGGTAGAGTAACACGGCACACAAAACAACAGGCTGGTTTCGGTCGTGTGGAGTTGGGATTATATAAACCCAGCTCTTAGGTATTACATTATTGCTTTGAATAAACAGTAGTTTGTTTTCTTTGGACAGAATACTTTAAATGTTGCAATGTTTACTTGTTCAGGACCTGTTGACCGTTAACTCCATGACACATCGGAAAGCGACAGAGTATTGGATTGAATCACTGTTACCTGTATAACTACAGCACTTGTACACTTGACGTATAAACACATTTGGAATAAATTAGACCCCCCCCCCGAACATTTATGATATCTCACCTCATTTGTACATTTTTGAAAATGCATAGAAGATAAAAATGTTGATTGTGACTCATTCGAAACATTAACACAAATACAACATATTTAATTGAACAATAGTCAAGTGCTCGTTAATAGAGATTATAAATCGAGCAAGTGTTTCATACGACTTATACGAATCGAGTGTGAAATTTTGTATTTCCCGAGCGAGAGCGAGGGTAAGACATAATTTTGCACGAATTTCGGATAAGTCACACTTGCTCGAGAGTAATACTTTCTTTATTATGAATTTTATTCATGTACATTTGTGCAGTAAAACACGGTAAGCAAGTATGACGGCCCTGTTCATTGACGTCACGTTCAATTGTTTTATGACGTCACAGACGACGAAATACAGGAACAATGATTGCTAGGCAAACGTGATATAGTTATTATCCATATGGTGAAATATAGCCGGTGTCATATATATCATATGACACCGGCTATGTTTCACCATATGGATAATAAACTGCTGTAGTGCACAAACGCAAAAGTTTTTTTTTTTTTTATGTTTGTAGCTTTACACAGCCATTTTGATAAGGTTGCACGAAAAAGTAATGGAAAGGAATTTAAGAGCAGATTGCAAGGGTGCGTTGTGACAACCATGTTTAATGTCAGTGACTATAAAAGGTTAAAAGTCAACAACTTTGGGCAAACGTTCGGGATTTATTGGAGCGCACCTTTTGTTGACATACTTGTCTTCCGATTGGAACGTACTCTCTGTGTACGTACATGTACGGACGTGTCTTTTGACGGAACAATCAGTATTGCGAATATAACTACAGAACATGTGACTCGCATGCTAGGTGTCATCCTTGTCGACCAAATTAAGCGAAATGCGCACATTTAATTGAAGACATTTTAGTGTGAATGTTGTGTAATGTAAACGAGTGAAACTAGTGACTGAAGTTTCGCTATCGATCCAACCCATGCTGGCGGATGTGACCTGTAGGAATAAAATGCGGGCTGTAGTTACATGGTGAACTTTTGTCGCTGTTGTAGTTCATTAACATCAAACATCCATTTGAATTCAGAAGCATAACCTAAAACGTAATATTGGTACACGCATCTGATCCATGCGTATTCTTTCATTAGTTTACTGGACATATTCCCAAAATTAGAAACAAATGCTATTTTGGCCTAATATTAACAGAGCATACAAATTTATCTTTCTTGAAGAACGCAACAAAGGCGTCGTCTTTGATGAGAGCAGTGACGTCCTTTGGTTTGGCTGCTGCAGCATCACAGACGGTGAACAAACCTCTTACTATCAACAGTTCAACCATGGGTAGGTACTTTCTTGATGAATTCGGTTTGCATCCATTAATACAACGAGACTGAAAACCGAAGGCTGAGAATGGCTGTAATGACTTTATATCAATGCTATAGTTTTGTGTTGATTGTTGGACATTAAGAATACATCGTCATACAATTATTCTCAGATGAGCATGCATATTCTGTGTTTTGTATTTGAACAGTTGTCTGGTTTTCCCACTAAGCCAGCTGATAAATACATTGTATTTCGATTTTGAAAGATTTATGTGATGTTCTGCTGAAACGATGTACGGAATTTCATTCGAACACAATGCCTTTGTGCTATATAAATACATTTGAACACTGTTGTGAGGTCATTTTCATATATAACTTGAATTCCCGGCTTTGTCGAAATTATTTCTGTGTCTCTTTGAATTACTTGATTATTAACTGTTATATAACCTCTGATAAGTCGGATCATTTGTGTCGGAACTCTTGTTGTCTCGAATGTATGTTGTCCTAAATGCCAAATGCAAGTTCTAGTTTCCCTGATAAGTAATCACAATATCTACACTAGTATTGAGGCACCTAATCGCCAGCACAGAAGGTCAGCCGTATAACCCACTCAGCCACTGCAGCATCCACATGGGTTAGACGGCTGTCTTTGTGTGCTTGCGATCAAGTGCGTGACTCCGAGTGTGTGGTTTGAATTCCGGATGGGACTCCAAACATCAAAAGTTCTAGAATCTGTACTTTTCTCAGACAATGTAATCCTAAATATAACATGTATTACATTTGACAACTTTCTAAATGTCATTGTGTATTCTTTGTAAACGTTTTCCATGTATTTTTTTCATTTCTTTTAAGTGATGGAAGTTGCAAAGGTTAAGAAGCAAGACATCAACTTTCCTACAGAAAACCTGGTTGGGGTGAAGAGTTCTTTAAGACTTTCTCAGGAAAACTATGACGCCGAAGGTAAGTAAATATTTTATGAATTGACCACGTTTCGAGGACATCAGAGCTTGAGTGATATAAAGAGACTACTGCAAGATACCATTTTATCTCAGGCTGTCCGCAGTTTGCACTAAGAAAATCCCCAGGCTAGTTTGATCCTTCTTCATCGACATTTATTAAAAAAAAATGTTTCTGAAGCAAACATTTTGATCTACATCATACATTAATGGCTTCTACCGGTGATATTCAGTTCACAATTTGTATAAAAAAAGTGACACAGTGAGTGAAAAACGTATTCTTACTTTTTCAAATTTACTTTGTTTTCGTTCGCCCGCCGACGAGTTGTATCAAAACTCACAAACTAGCTAAAGCAACACCCGGTCTTGACATTAAAGAATAACGAAACCATTATGAACCTGTATCACAGAGGTAGTACAGAGGAGAATACCATCGTTTCCATATATTTTCCATAATGTACAATTGATCCGCTATAATTCGTAAACAATCCTTTGGATGTATGAGTACATTGTTGAAACCTTGCAAAAGGACAATGTTCAAATCCAAAACTGCAAATCGTCTAATGGCTGTGTCTAATACTAAAACCCCATATTGTTTACAATGTTATTTCAGACAGCACCATAATGAGGCGCGTGACATAGAATATATCTATTTGTATATGTTTCTCAAAATCTAAACATTTAAACGCGGAGCTAATTCTGAAGAAAGTTCGAACTGGACATTTTAAATGACTGATGTCTATTTCAGGGCACTAGATATTTACAATGTGACTTTGTGTGCATTTTGTTTCCCTGTTATATGTACAGGATTTGCTCCTATCTACAGCATGCAGACATTATGCAGGATCTTACATCTGGCCAAACGGAAACATATTTCCCAGGACGATGAAAATGTGCATTGGATTACTATGGCTACGTGACCAAAAGTGACACAAAGGATACAAGTGATACAAACCACAGATGTGTCGAAATTGATGTGATGTAGTAAATACTTCGAGGAAACCAATGATCGACACAACCGTAGACATTACTTAATAGTGAATATGCATTGATTAAGCTTTTACTTTGAGAAAACAATAAGTTCGCAACATTTTGCCCTTTTGTGACTAGTTAACAAAATACATGTCGGTTAAAAATCACTTCAAAATTATGTTTACATCATATGCATGTACATAATAATGATATAGATATAAATAAGTTCATGTGTCTTTAAAAAAATCCTGTCACAGAAGTACAATTTAAAAATACAGAATGCACCTCGTTCAAATACGTACCCTTGTCCTAACTGATAGACGTCTTATCCCATTTACTTTCTTTGATAAAGTTTGCATAAAGAGCTATAGACTTAGGGTTGGCATTTTGAAGAAGACTTATTTGACAATCAGTATTTACATATTCAATATCTATCATATATATTAGTCGCAACCTATTATAGATTGGACATTTTAGCATAAAAAGCAACTCATCTTCTAAGATATTTTTACAAAATGGACAAAATCTTGATTTTCGAGGAATACCTTCTTTTCTACCAGCATGCTTCATGATGTTTACTTCACCTGACTTTAAAAATGACACATATCTTCTTCAGTCTTTATTACGTAATGTCAATAGGTATGATTCCGGCCATTTCGTCCATGTGTGTGTGCTGTTTGCTACCAGTCGGGCAGAATATCTCATCTTTTCTCCAAACCCTGGTAGTCATCTCTTATCTCATGCCCAGGATAAAGTCGGAATCGTTAAACTGTGCTTTTGACAAATATTACTTTTGCATGTGAAAAATATTTCGGTATTCGCGTTTGTTTCAAAGTTGTAAAATCTGGCTTTTGGCCTATAAAAAAATATCCCGTTACCTTCATATGAGCTTTTTGGGTTCATTTTCAGAAAATGTCACTTACGTTGCAGCCTATTACAACACTATGGCAGAGTTTCTACAGAGAAGTAACTCCGGGTAACCTAGATCTCATATTAAATGTGTGCATGTACATTCTACATTCTGTTTCCAATTTCATGACCGATGATAGACAAGATACACCACTTAAGTCTGACAAGTACTTGACATAGCTCTATCTTCACATAGAAATCTACACGCAAAAGACAACGAAGTGCTGCACAGTTAACAGTTTTACTATGAAAGATGAGATGATAGAGGCCAAGGCTGGATATTCAGGGTGAAACCATGATCTTCGCAGACCGCTGATGTCATGTGAGCTGATAGAGGCCTAGGCTTAATATCCCGGGTAAAGCTATCATCTTCACAGATCGATGATGTCATGTGAGATGATAGAGGTATTGGCTGGATATCCAGGGTGAAACTATGATCTTCACAGACCGCGGATGTAATGTGAGCTGATAGAGGCCTAGGTTAGATATCCAGGGTGAAACTACGATCTTCACATATCGCTGACGTGAAGTGAGATAATAGAGGCCTTTGCTGGATATCAAGGGTGAAACTATGATCTTCACATACCGCTGATGTAATGTGAGATGATAGAGGCCTAGGCTTAATATCCAGGGTGAAACTATGATCTTCGCAGACCACTGATGTAATGTGAGATGATAGAGGCCTAGGCTGGATATCCAGTGTGAAAACATGATCTTCACAGACCGATAATGTAATGTGAAGTGATAGAGGCATTGGCTTCACAGACCGCTGATGTATACGAGGTGATAGAGTCATAGGCTAGATATCCAGGGTGAAACTATGATCTTCACAGATCGACGATGTAATGTGAGATGATAGAGGCCTAGGCTGGATATCCAGAGTAAAAATATCTTTACAGGCCCGTAATGTAATGTGAGGTGATGGAGGCATTGGCTTCCCCACTTACATGGTCTAAAAACCCTCCCATACTACTCTGGATTCTTCAATAGATAGTAATACTTCTTGGAGTATTAATTATTGTGAAAAAACAGTTACAGAATGGTGTAGCAATACATTACACTACCATGTAACAGTCATCTCACCAAAACATGTTTTGTTCACATTAGAGATGACAAGACAACACAAACAGAAACACGATCTCCGATTCTATCACTTGCTGTCCACGCTGGCGGTAAAAGACTTGCAGAGCTTAACATGGATGTAACGCTTAATTTCTATCATGGACAGGTGAGTGATATATTTTACATTGTGTACAAGGATGGCCTGCTTCATTCTGACCTTGGCTAGTCTCTGCTAGGCATAGTATCAGTGTTCTGTGCCACCCGTCTTGGCCGTGATGAACGAACTCATTAACAGCTTAACCCCATCGTGTAAGAATTGCTATCGGTCGTGTCTTAATGAGCAAGGGATGGGGGTGGCTAGAGCGTTCGATCGTCACACCGAAAATCCGGGTTCGATTGCCCACATTGGTATAATGGGTGAAGGCCATTTCTGGGGTCCCCCGCCCTGATATTGCTGGAATATTGCTAAAACGGAGTAAAAGCATATCCGCTCACTCTCTTAATGGTTGAGCTTATCGTCCCTCCAGAGTTTAGACTAGACGGATGGTTAGACTAGATAAAGATCATTTCGACGGTGTCTCGCCATCATAATCTTTGATACTGTAAAAATCGTCATGAACCCAGTTTTGAAGGGTTTTATTCCCGGGAAAAATATAACGTTTACTCATAACGTCAAAATCGATGTTCCATTATGGTACAAGGCGGTTCCCTACGTTGTCTAATATCGAAACATCTTTTAGCTGGAACAACTGGTTTGTTGCCAAGGTTGATTAAAATTCAGTGTATTTGTATTTGGTTGACCAATGTATTGGTTGTGTATGTTTTCTTTAATATTATTTTCAGGTCGACAATGGAGAACTAGAATGCGGATATTGGAACTTTAATAAAGGGTAAAACATTCATTTGTTTTTTTTAAAGTCGCCAGTATCCTCCTCATGATTCCAAATACACTGAAGACGAAAAGACGCAGTGCTGTTCCTTCACCTTTCAGTTCGTATAGTCAAATGTTGGATTTACAGTGCCAGATATTAAATTAAAGATGTGTATCCAGGCGAGTCACCCCTCAAAAACTACGGCAACAGATATAATTCCAAAAATATTAATTGAAATAATTGTTATATATATATATATATATATATATATATATATATATATATATATATAAAATGGTATGATACACAAGTGCTGTTGAGTATTTTAAACATTTTATCTTTGCACTTGCTTTTTCCGGTGCAAATGGAGAACACTTTCAAACATGATAAGGGTCATATGGCTGAAAACGTCTTCATTGAATAAATTTAAATAAAATTACTCAGACACAGATTACATGTTACAAACCGTTTCAGGAATGAGTAATGGTAAAGAGAGGCAAATCAAAGTCCAATATTCAGTTACAATGTGACCGTTTTAAGGAAGGTACAAAACATAAAACTGGCAATACTCTTCTCGTCAAAACAATGATGTCCAAAACATTTTATAACGAACAAAAACTATTTACCATCGTAAAACAATACTTGTATCCAAATGTTAAGATTATGGTGTAAAATAACTATCCAACATATAGTACACATTGAAGTGTGTAGAGGCAACGATTTTTGCGATGTTCTACTTCTGACTCACAAACATGTTTGTGACTAAGGCAGATTTCACTAAATGCCGAACGCCATAGTGTGTCTCCACATGACCTCCGATTCTCAGATAAAGTCTTGAAGTCAACATATTGCGAGAGTGCATCGTCAGACTGTAGCCATTTAGAGCGGACGTTAACAGGGCGTTGGTTTGATAGTAGGACGATGGTGTTTAGGAAAGATAAGTGTATCATCCAGTCTATCAGTATGCATGTGTTAGGAATAACAGTGGAATCAACAGCCTTGAAAGACAGAAACGACAAAGCTCAGAGCTTTGAGCAAACATTATAATTGAGGCTATATCGCGTATATGGTCTAAACCAGAAAAATCTGTCTTCGTTTCGTTATCTTTTGCGCTATATGATGGTGGTTTGTAAAAGCCAGTGATTGACATTATGAGCATCGATCTACACAATTGGGTTATAATGACATGTGACAACCAAGTCAGACAGCCTGACCACCCAATTCCTCTTACGACAAGCATGGGTTGCCGAAGAACAATTCTAAGTTGGATCTTCACGGATACAAATGAAATCAACTGTAATGGGGCGGGGGCGGTCAGGTAGTCTAGTGGTTAAAGCGTTGGCTCGTCACGCCGAAGACCCGGGTTCGAATCCCCACATGGGTGCAACGTGTGAAGCCCATTTCTGGTGTCCCCCGCAGTGATGTTGCAGGAATATTGCTAAAAGCGTCGAAAGCCAAACTCAGTCAGTCAGTGTAATGGGGCACCGTCTGCCCGGAGAGGCGAATGCGAGTGTTTCGATTCTATTTCTGGCTGATACTTGTTATTACCGAGCCTGACACTCTGCATTACTGGGATAGAACGATGGCTGGTCTACTCGGACTTTACTGTCTTTGAGTTAGGTATCCATGTTTAACTGCCAAATGGTATGTGAATGGGCTAGCATTAAGGAACCGGGGACAGTTCTGAATAGGACACAAACACACACACACGACTATGGCAAGCTGTTTCCGAAATTGTTTACCTTTAATTATATTGAAGCTATTTTTAACTGAATTAAAGAATTCTTCAACAAAATTGTCATATCTGTAATGCGTATGTGGGTATGTATAAACATGCCTTTGTGCCATGAAACAAGTAAACAAATAGATCCCCCTATGTCCACATATGATTGGAGTGACTTTTGTGTTTCAGTTCCTGGAGGACGGATGGGTGCAAGAGAAGTCACATAAACAGTTCCTTCTCAAGATGTGATTGTGATCACTTGACCAACTTCGCTATTCTGATGAGTCCAACAAGAGTCGTGGTAAAACGATAACTCTTACTTATAACTCACTGGTGTTAATTATCAGAATAATAATTTATGACGCCCGAAATCATGACTTCAAAACATTCCCCCTTAGTTCATATTGCCACAGTGGCTAAAGTGGCACTTTCGAATCAATGGTGAAATGCCGTTCGATTCCCAGCAATGGGATTTCTCTTAAGAACAGATATGACAAAAGCCATGTGATATTCACTATCATGTGACTTGTCCTCACTCTGAAAGCATTGTGTAACGTCACGGTAGCCTTATAAAACTCATAATAGAACGAAGGTGACTTCCATTCTCAAAGAGTTGAACAAAGCACAGCTAGAAACATCAACCAGGGGTCTAACACTGCCAGAAGACCAGCCTTGAAGGCATTATATACTAGCCACATAAAGAAACTGTGCATTGTCAAAATGTTATCCCAGTTGATAAGTACGATAACAATGTCAAAGGTACATATAAACTTTAATGGAGGGATCATGAGACCATAACAAGTCGGGAGAATTTCAGTTGAAAAGTCAATCACAATGACGTCACGAGTTCACAAGCAGGACAGGGATCAAACGACCATGTGACAAGCTCAATAACGGGTATGTTCACCATTGGCATTGAGAACAGCAGTCCATCGACGACGCATAGAGCCTATCAAACGTGCAAGGAAGGCTTGTGGGATGTCACGCTAGATTCTCTCAAGTTCTGTTGCAAGGTCAAGGACGTTATCTGGCGGATGAGGAAGACGGCGTAGACGTCGATCCATCTCGTCCCAATCATGCTCAATCGGGGAGAGATCCGGTGAATTTGCAGGCCAAGGCAGTAAGTCAACGTTGTGGTGTTGCAAGAAATCCATAGCAACCCTTGCCGTATGAGGGCGGGCATTCCTATAGGAATGTTAACCAAGGGCCATGACGTTGCAGAAAACGAATTGCCACAGGTCGAAGAATCTGATCCCTGTAGTCCACACCAGTTAAGCTGCCCTGAACAATCACCAAAGGAGTTCTTTGGCGTGCTGTTATTTCCACCCCATCATCACGGAACCACCACCAAAGCGATTCCTCTCCAAGACACAGGCCTATGCATAACGTTCTCCCAAGCGTCTATAGGCACGTTGACGTCCATCACTATGAGAAATGTTAAACCTGGACTCATCTGTAAAAACAACATTTCTCCACCAAAACAAGGGTCTGCAAGCTGATTTCGGCACAACATTCGGCGAGCTCGTCGATGACGTTGTCAGGATAGGCCGTATGGCGGGACGTCGTGGTCTGATCCCGTGATGACGTAAACGTTGTCGAACTGTGTTGGGGTGGATACGGCGAAGTCCTGGGATGGTTCGGGCTGTCATCACTGCATTCTGAAACCTGTGGCGAAGATAGGTCACCCTTATCCATATGTCCTGTGTTGTCGTTGTTACACGTGGACGTCCAGAACGTGGCCGATCGATGACGTCATTTGTGTTCTGGTAGCGTTTCACCAGTGCAGAAATGGTGTTCCGGTGGCAGTGGAAATGTGCAGCCACTTGTCGTTGAGACATTCCACCACGGACCATCCCAATGGACTCATGACGTTGTGCAGACGTGAGCCTTGGCATGCTATGAGTTTCAATAGCCGTTTAATTTTTTTAACGATCGCAAGGGCAGGGGTTGAGCTTTCCAATGTGACAGTATTGTGTGGCGTTCATTTTCTCTGTTTCTCTTTCCCGGAATGCACGTGCAACAACGTATTGCCTGTCTCAAGGACGAACCCACTGACGTCACGGAACGTGCCACGTGCACGCATGCTGGATACATGTCACTAATCTATGAGTTTAAATCCTTATGTGTCTACACAGGTTTGATTAATTTAGATTTTAAATTTTTGTATGCAGAGTTTCTTTATGTGCCTTGTATAGATATGATTATTTGCATTTCCCAGTCTGAAGAAAACCTGAGACTCCTGAAGATCATCTCCATAGTTGGCTGTTCCTTTTCTATCCTGGGCTGCTTGGTGACAGTACTGACACACATGTGTTTGTGGAGGTAGGGAGCGCTGTGTTCCAGTTAATACTAGGTAGCAAAAGAAAGTATATAAAGTAAAAGAATATTCAGAAACTGTTGTTAGGTGTGATTATGCGTATTCAACCATCGCCGGTGGGGTTATTTTTAAATAAAAAGTATACTGGTTCAGTGTAGACTGTAGCTCGAAATGCATTTTGTTCCGAAATTCGCAATGTTATTGATTTTCAAGCATCAATTATGTTAAAAAAATAGAACCATGCAGAAGTGTTCATTGCGAAAGTACAGTAAATTCTTCTGACATAACACGCTAACATGGCCACTGACAGAGATGAGAGCTATTTCTTTAACACAAACCTACGTCAATATACCGTTATTACAAGGCACCATGTTCTGGCAGACCTTGATCTACCACTGACAGATATGGCAGCTACTTCCTTAACACGACATTACAACAACATCCTGTTACTACAAGACACAACTTTCTGACAGACAATGATCTACCACTGACAGAGATGACAGCAACTTCCTTAACACGACCCTACGTCAACATTCTGTTACTGCAAGACCATAGTCCTGTCAGTGATGAAGACTACAGTTCTTATGTTTCTAGTATACCTTGAAGTGCCTAATACATTCAAATATGTTACCATTAGAGTAAGTTAGTCTTATGCACGTATGTCTCATCGCGGAAATGAATACCGGCATGTAGAGGTACATAAGTTCATTACCCCATCCTCTCAATCACTTCATTATACAGGAGTGTTCGCTCTAGTAAGTCCGTCATCCTGGTGAACCTTTGTATGGCGTTGACCTTGGCCTACAGCGTCTTCCTGGCTGGCGTGGAGAGAACGGAAAACAAGGTAACGTTGTAACACAAATAGCGGGCATACCGGTATTGATGTTATGTAGTCTTTGTCATGGAAAGAGACACAGGTTATATTTGCACTCACGTGTACCTGACTAAACCCGAACTAAAATATATCATCCTTAGTATAATCATTATTTTAAATTTGTGAAATTTTCAGTAGGTTTTCACAAGTGTTATCATTAAATATTGTCTCGTCTTTCTTCCCCTCTGCTTCTAGGCCGTGTGTACTGCAGTGGCGGCCATTTTGCACTACTTGTTCCTGGCCATCTTCTGTCTGATGTTTGCCCAGGGGATCGACATGGCCAGACAGGTAGTAACTGTGTCAAGGAGGAGTTCAAGACTGGAGGTTGTCCTCGCTCTATCCTGGGGTAATAAAACCTTGATTACCAAGTGTATTATTAAATCTTTGTTGTATCATGATAAAACACGCGAACCCACTCGCTACAAAGGGTTCATTTAATATGGGAGTGACGTCATGAGTTGAATCTGATTCGAGTATCAACTTACTCGCATGTGCAGAGAATTTGTAAGGGAAGGAATTCCACAGTTTGGTGGGTGTACGTCAGGTTTTTATGAGGATTTTGTAATGAGTGTCTTTCGCGTTTAATTAAGTAGACTTATAAAACAAAGTATGGTCACCTGGTTCTTTCACAAAAACATGAATCACAAAAACTGTGAAAAACACAACAGTGTTTGACATTTCTGAATGTTCTTTTCTTTATATATAAAACTTATTTCAGTGTTTCGTGTTAATATTTCTTTCGCTGCCAAATATCATGACATTGTTTGTATTGTCGAAACATTATTTTCCGTTAAAAAAAACTATACGGTATGCATAACTGTAAAAGTCTTCAAACAGACTGAGAGTGCCATGATAGAACATTAGTGGAGCTGGGGTAGTAATCCTGATGGCGTGGAGACGTTTTTTCTGTTTAACAGAAAATGGGTATAATCGTGTCTTCAAAGCAACATCATGTTAAAAACGAATCTCAAGCAGTTCATCCGTAATAGCTTTGAGGAATAAAACCCCTTTGTAGACATTGTGACAATAGTTTCTTTGAGTGATAGACTCAACTTCATGGCACACAAATAGAAACATGTGACTTTACTAGATGGTTCATCAGCCCCGGCGTAAAGTCAAACCGGATTATTGACAGCCACCACCATGTAGCTGGATTATTGCGGTGTTAAATAACAAGCAAACAACAACCCGATGTTAATCAATGGATTGCTTGTTGTTCTAAGCCACACTCAACAATATCACAGTTATATATCGGCAGTCGAAAAATAAATAATCGAATAAATCGAAATAATCGAATCTGGGTCAGACAATCCAGAGATTAACAACATGAACATGGTTCTACGCAATTAGGATACGATGACATGTGTCAACCACGTCTGCAAGCCTGACCACCCGATCCCAGCAGTCGACTCTTACAAGCATGGTTTGCTCAACAGTTCTATTCCGAATCTTCACTGGTACCATCCGGTTTGACTTTACTCTGGGGCTGATGAACTATCCAGTTAAGTGACCTTGAAAGTATTCTCTTATGAGAAGCATGGGTTGCTGAAGACCATTTCTAACCCGGATCTTCACGGGTCAAGACAGGTCAGCAGCATCTCAGCCTTTCCATCCACGTAGTACTGTCTTCCCATCATTGGTTGAAACGCGCTTCAATCAGTGTACAAAACAAGTCTTTTAATCACTAATTGTTTTGTCTGTCGTCCCAACAGGTGTGCCGGCAGTTATAGTCGGTATTACCCTGGGGGTCACCAAGCTGGAGGGATACGGAAATGACCAGTTGTAAGTAGGACTAGTTCACATCAATATATTTCACTCTTTCAAACGTACGTCTTAACTGATACATGGCACTGTGAAATGAGTGAAACGTCATGTTGTTAGTAAGAATACTTCAAGAGGATGTTTTCTTTAAAACTGTGTGACAGAAGAAATTGATTTGTATGTAACAATACTGCAGTCTCAGTGCAAATGTAAAGCATTCTTTCAATGTTATTTGCATCTACAATTTAATTTGAAAATGATTGTGGTATAAAGTTGTTGTGACACGTTGTAAGTGTTAAATATGTGGTTGTGTTGTTTCAGCTGCTGGTTGACGGTGGTGGATGGGGTTCTGTACGCCCTTGTTGGACCAGCCCTCTTCGTCATACTTGTAATGTCATCAAAATGCGAAATATATCAAACACAAATGAAACTGTGCAAATGTTGTCACTTGTCATGATGTTTTTGACAAACAGAATAACTCGCATTACTGAATTACTTAAACCCTTTATTGTTCTAGAATTCAAATCTGATTTTCAACATGGCCTTTACAGTAGCCATATTGAATTCATGCACACACACATATTTTTTCAAATAGGAAAGGAACATTGAACTTGTGTGGTTAATAGTGAGTTCAACACATTTGTTGAGGGATTTTTCCGTTTAATTGTCCGATATTTTTTATTTTGACCTGTATAAAACAATTGTCGCGATAATTAGTACCTGACGTGTATTTGATCTTTACGACCTGACTTGGTAACTGTAGTAGTTCACAGTGCTGGTGGTAGGTAATATATCGTGGAGATGAGGCTATTTCGACCACTAATTTCTGTCCACTAACTGTCCGAACATTGTCCCTTCACACAGGCTAACACCGTGATCATCGTCGTCATCATGCGGGTGCTGTTTTCCACCAAAATGATGATCAGAAAAGGAAATAGAGAGAGGTTCATGTGAGTGTATTTGCTGCATGATGTCACCAATACAGCCATTCTAATGTCTTTTACCATCAAAGGCATGTCCCGATGTTATCAATGTTAGGTACACTCCGGCGAGTTAGAGTTACCAAATCCTCCTCCGGATTGTTTGGACGGGTATTACATGACGTCATATGGCTCACATTCATGTCACAGCAAGTTGAGACGATTATATATAGAAGCACAGTAAACTAGTTATAACGAACTCAAAGGGACCACAAAGTATATTTCGTGTTATCTTTTTCGATTGTAATATACAGGATGTGGTCAGTTCGTTATATCCGTCAGTTCGTTACAAATATGTTCGTTATAAATGCAGAATTTTGTAAAAAAAATCATTTTATAAGAAAAAACAACTTTTATGTTTTCAATTTCTCGTCACAGTTCTCATACTATCTTAGCGCGAAACCCTGCGGCTTATTTACGGGTGTGACGGCTTCGACGTTGTACAACCAGAAATTATTGAGAATTTAAAGATTGTAATTTTTTTTCTCACTCATTACTCACGTAAATGTGAATATTAGCAGAACATAACTCCAGATTCAAAGACAGGTGAACAGTTAGTATTTTGTCAAGTCACATGGGCAGCAATGCAGGCTTCAATGCAGCGGGGCATACTACTGATCAAAGAAGTTAGAAAGTCGGGTTCCATGCTGTTCCAATATCGGACCACCTCTTCTTTCCTTTCAGCAATATTTGTCAGATTTTCTTATTGACACTTTCCTTCATAAGTCCCCAAACATTTTCTATTGATTTAGGTCAGGGCTATAGCTTGGCCAATCTAATAATGTCATATTTTGGGTCCGAAACCAGGCCTTTTAATGCTTTGAACGATATTTTGGGTCCTTGTCCTGCTGGAAAATCCAAACATTTCCACAGAACACGTGAGCAGATATCTGTGTACCGCTCACTGTTCATATTCCCTTCAAATACACAGAGGGGCATTGCCCCTAACACAGATATGCCACCCCACACGTTAAATTTCGGACTGTACTTTGGGCGCTGATACAAAGGTTTTGTTTGGTCCAGAATTTCAGTGAATTAGGAAACAGCCACACAAAACTTTCATCTGAGAAAATCACATTGTCCCAGTTAAAATTTCTATGCTGTAAGCACCAGTTCAACCTTCTCTCCTTTTGTTCAGGTTTCATGATCGGTGATGGAATTTCTCGACTTTTCTGCCAACCCCTTGCATGCAGCTCAGTTCTAATTTTCTCCTTACAGACAGCCACAGTTCCTCTATCAATCATATCCAGCCTTAAGTTTTCTAAACTCCTTCGTTTGTTTTTAGAAACAAGAATACCAAGCCGCCTCCTGTCACAGACAGTCAATTGTCTGGGCCTACCTGCACCTCCCCTGGTGCTCAATGCCATAACCATTTGCAATATTGTTCAAAACCACGATAAACAGTGAACAAAGGGATGCCTGTTCTACTTGAAATCACTTTAGCTGATCTGATGTCCTTGTTATAATACTCTAAAATCAACTTCCTCTTCTCTAAATCATCCATACTGAGGATCACTGAAAATGTCGTCTGCTAGCAAGTAAACAAAGGGATAACTCTTCACAAACTAATGATAAAGGAATAACGGAGCTGTCTCTCTTGAATGAAACCAAGCACTTGATAGCTGGTCAAGGTTGTTTATACTAGAAATCCAATTAAACATATTCCTAAATTTCTCAATAATTTCTGGTCATACTATACGTCGCATCTCTGCACAGGAATTTAAAACCACTTCCTCCCAAGCCTCCTCCTCTCTTTTCTCTATATCTTAGTATGGTTCTTTTGGCGTGGGCTTCCCCACCTTTGTAGCCTATTTGTTATATACCTCTAATTATTACGGTAATTATAATTTCATTAACGGTTAATAAACGTTGTCTGCCTTGTGTGGGCCTATACAACAACAATCCATGTTGTTATGATTCGCCACAAATTAAACTTGACGTTCTCGGTTGATACTGGTTTTGAGTATAAATGTAGTTATAACGTTATTATGCCTGTGTGCGTGCGTGAGTGCGTAAGTGCGCTGACGGTTTGGAGGCACCTCTATTTGAAAGATAGCAAATAACAAGAGTAATACGGTTCCCCCAAGTTACGCTAAAATATATTATTGAAATTGATTTACTTTATATATATTCTGCGAGTAGATAAACCTGTATTGATCATAAAATTGCCCTCAAGATATAATACTCTTCAAATAATTTGGCTGTAGTTTATTTTCCCAAAGTAAGGACAGTGCTTTTTATCTTACCTTAGACATCAATGTCGTTTTCTGATTGGCTGCTCGCCCTCCTATTATTTTCGATGAACCCCCGCTTACAAGCGAATGACATTTTCTATGTTATCCGCTCTGAATGCCGAGCCGTGGTACCTACGCATTATGTGTGTAATGGAAATTATCGATGCTTTGCGAATGCAAATGGGTGGAAGGGAGATAACTCTAAATTTGTTTTTCTTGTCTGCTTGATTCCATGCCATCTTAAAATCTAGTAATTGGCTAATTGCCTAACTATTATGATCCGATACTCGTGCTTCCAAACAGTTCAAAAGCAACATTGAGGTGTTCGGTAAGATAAATACGTTATTACGTTGGGTATGTTGAACCCATTGGTACCCTCTATGTTTGGTTATGTTTGAAGCGGTAGAGGGTACATCGGGCTCAGGGAACATAAACAAACATTGGGGATACATCAATCCATGTCCCCTCGTGACCAGTGAACAACTTATAATGTACAAGGGTATACCCATTATGGAATCGAGAAAAGAGTAAAAGAATTAAGGAACCAAACAAGTACTTTTAAACTAACGACACATCAATTTTCAGATCATTCAACACGCCCAGGGATACAGTTCACTTTGACACAATTGTACAAATTATGTATTAATAGGAACAGATTATTACAAGTTATTAAGAACATCTTAAACATCTTTGCTTCAACAATGTACTATTGCTGCTTCCCAAGGAGAGGATTATGACGACGTTGTTTTTGTATTTTTTTGTCTTTTGCTTTTAGCAAACAACAGTACTGTTAAAGATTTCTCTTTCGGGAACATTGTCTACTAGTAGAACAGTACTCCCGTGGCTGATGGGAAACATTGCTCACTGTCACATACACATGGACAAATCTCGTGAAGTCTCTGTTCTTGTTTTTCAGGAACATTGACCATTCGTACAACAGTACAGCAGTGGCTGATGGGAAACATACCATTGCTTTATGTCACATACCGTACACATGGACAAATCTCGTGAAGTCTCGTTCATTTCTTTCAGGATAAGTTTTCGGAGCCTTTGTGTTCTGATGCCTGTTCTCGGAGTCACGTGGGTGTTTGGTATTCTGGCATTTAACGAAGACACAGTCGTCTTTCAATACCTCTTTTGCCATCTTCAATTCGTTGCAGGTAACGACTCTTAAGTCAATAGGTATGAAAACATGCGAAAAAATATAATTCATTCATGGCATGCATATTCAGAAAAAGAAACCCCTGCTGAAATATGAATTTGACCACTACTAAATAACCTACAGGCCGCGGCGTTTGGACAAATGAATGTATCATATTAAAAGTCAAGTTAAATGATTACATTATACGTGAAAAATGTGAGTGTCAATGTCACTCGTTGATATGCAAGCTCTAAACCTTGGCCAGGGTAAGACGTATTCGAGAATATTCGTTTCCAGTTTACAAGAAAGAGCAAAGCATGTGCAATCGTAAATCATAAACTACAAACACCAGGTTCTGTGGCATGTACTACTACCACGGGTAGGGTTTGGAAACCGGAAACGGTTATTACAACACCGGAAGTACCGGAAATGAATCAACTTGATCGAAACATACCTCTTTCAAAAGTTAAGGTTTTACAAACGTTGTGTTTGATCCGTTGCATTGCTTTGCTTCTTTGTGTTAAGCGATACACTGACTAGTTTCCAACTATATGACGTCGGTTTGCCAGACAGTCCAGTGAACATCGATCTACGTAATGGGATACGATGACGTGCATTGATCAACGAAGTTAGAAGTCTGACCACCTGATCCCGCTATAACTTCGTTGCAAGCATGGGATGCTGAAGACTAATTCAAACCCGGATCTTCACGATTGTGTAAATGGGTCACATTTGAATATGAATACAAACTGTGATTAATTGAATAATGTTAAACTGATTAATGCTCTATTTATCAAACATACATTATTTCGTTTTCTCATTTGACAGTGCATAACCTGAAACAATATAAAATATGTCTACTCAATTAAATAAAAATTCTTGTGTTCCAGGGCTTCCTGATTTTCGTGATGCACTGCACTTTTAACACTAAGGTGGGTCACTTCACCTTTAGGGCGGTGGGTAACTTTAGTGGTGAAAGCGTTCACTCATCACGCTGAAGATTCCCCTCCTCTATACAATGTGTGAGGCTCATTCCTTGTGTCTCCCCAGGAATGTGCTGGAAGTTTGCTAAAAGCGATGGAAACCTTACCCAAGAGCGGCACTGGTAGCACATGACACTGTGATGAGTGGCTTCCTTAGTTCAATTATTGGATAGTTACATGTTTGAATCCAAGGTTGGCCCCGATAGTAACTATCAGTTGTATTACAGTGTGGGAAATAGTATCCACATTTTGATAGATATGCCTGAAAGTTACTTGCCCACAAAATTATTCACCAGCTAGCCCGAAACGTGAATGTAGAAACTAAGCAAACGATTACAAAAATAGATGAAAATAAGACATCCTCAGCATGACATGGGTTTCCATCATTGCCGCTAATATGATGAACGTTTTATCAGGCGATAATCTTTCATGATTTAAAAGTGTATTATGACTTAACAAGTCGGAGAGAGTGATATATTTACAAAACATGACACAATGAAAATTCAATGAGCCAGTCGGCCAGTGAATGTGGAGGTTTACTCGCCCGACTAGATTTTTTACTAGCGACGGGCTAGCGGTCCAGTGGCTATTTTGCACACTGCAATTGTGCATCGTAATCTGCAGTACACTTAACAGTAAAGCAGTGTACCCAAGTTATCCTGGCATCCTTTCCAAGACGGCAACACTTCCGGTTTGGGGAAGACCGTGACCGGCTGGTGTAGCCATCTTGGAAAAGACGCTAGGGTAAAGAGGTACACCTCTGCAGAAGTTCAGCTGCCCTAGGACCCTGCATCACCGTGGGTTTCCTCCTTACGTACCCTGATGTAACGAAAACACTTTTGAGGCGACTTTTCACTCTTCTCACCAACTCAAAACATGGTAAATGTGAAGCTTCCGACCACACGCTTCCCACCAGTTACAGCTCCATTGGTGATCGGGTGGTGATATGTTTCACTTGTGTATTGATGATGCAGATGGCTGCCAGTCGTCGTGAACATTGTTTTACATTATATGCTATTATTCACAATGGCAGCAGCAACCAACCTCCACTCAACCTTGTGCAGCGTTGACCCAGAGGCCACCTAAATCTATCATATTCCTAGCATATTTATAGCAACAGCTCTGTGTTGAAGACTCCCACCAAACTCTTTAATCACTCTCACTGATTCTTGGTAAATGCTTTCTCCTGATGTAATAAAATTATGATTTTTAATGAATTTCCACATATGAAATTTTAAGCTTAATGTTTCCAGATTCTTGATGGATTGAGAACGGTTATGCGACGCTACTTATCCCAGATGTATGAATCCTTTGAGGTGGGCAGAAAATGGTTTGACAGTACTCTCAGTAATGTAATACGGTATTGTAATGGTAAAGGTTTAAACTCGTTAATCTGCATTATGGCAAAGTAAGTCGCCCTTCACTGCTACATATCAGTTTCAAGCCTAGTGGTTAAAGCTCTTGTTTGCCACGCCGAATTGACCAGGGTTCGATTCCCTGGGTATAATGTGTAAATCCGATATTTGGTGTCCCCTGACATGATATTGCTAGAATATTGCTAAAAGCAGCATAAACCTTACCCATTCACTCACTCCAAAGTCTTTCCATGTCAGAGATATCTCTGATATAATTATTTCTCGTCAGTAAATATATTTCTTTGCGAGAATTATCATGCCTGTGATCTAGAGGATAGACAATTTGCCTCGAGTCGAGTGGAGGAGACGGAGAAGGGCTGCTATCAGTGAGTTAAAGAGGAGTTTAGTTTAACGCACGATTCCAGTATTCCAGTAATAACCTGGTGGGGACAATTGCACAAAAGGCTTCACACATTGCACCCACGTGGGTAATAGAACCGGGGGCTTCGGCGTGACGTACGAACGCTTTAACCACTAGGCTACCCCACCGCCCTGTTATGAGATCGCTCGGTACTTGCTATTACCCCGCCTGTCGCTCATTGTATTAAAATAAGGACTGGCGGACTCGAATCTGGTATTATGTGTCCGAGTGGCAGATTCATGTTGAACCACGGCATGCCCAGTTGCTCTAGCAGTACAAAGAAATGAGGGAATCAGTCACGACAAGGCTTGTTAAAGCAGTCACACACGCGCGAAAATCCGGAAGAAGTTTTAATTCCCTTTACCTTTACCTTCAGAGCAAGGGACAAGAGTAAACAAACAAGGTCCGATAAAACGTCAGGGTGAGATTGTTTATAAGGTGCATGTTGAAGTGAGCGCACCCCTTCTGTTCAAAATGCAGTGCATCGCGGAGTTTTGATTTAATTGTGCAGAAATATTTGACGTTGCCTCGGATTTCATGCATTGGCAATAGAAGAACTAATATATATAGTGATAGATAGAACAAGATCCTCAATAGTGTAAAGACCATGAGTTTGATTTAACCCCTCTCTACCACCTCGGTTTTAGGTCTGAGCCTCGTTTCTGTGATAGCCGATAGTCCCTAGGGATACAATCGGTCGAGCGAACATTTAACATGGCCACTGTAAGCTAATGACAAACCCCCGACACTGCCAATCCGCCTTGGCGGGTATGGGATTCAAACCTCTAATCAAAGGCATCTAATTCCTAAGGGAGGCTACCTAGATCGTGGCTATAAGGGATATTGCGAGTCGACCTATAAATTCGATAATGCAGGGCATCATTAGGTTTCAAGATCATGCTGCCCATCAATATTTGTCGAATGCTGTTGTAGACTCTTTACGAGCAGCCGTGGAAACCCTCACTGAAGGCACACATCGACGATGGGTGTGGAACTGACATCACATAAGCAGTAATTACCAGTCCGGCCAGCCCCGGAATCCAGATGAGTGGCCCCAGCCGTGGGTACCAACTGATAGGTTGGACGAAGATAGCTCTTGATTATCACCTGTAGGGTCAAGTGTTCCGCATCTCTGTCAATATTCAAAGAATAATATACATGAGCTACAGTCAAAGTCGCAAACGAGACCCTCTCTCACTCAGAAGAAGCATGGTTCGCATCTATTCCGTACGGGGTTTCTGAAGAAGAGAGGGGGAGTACTTTTGGCTCTTGTAAGAATTCTTGCCAGTCACCTTAATGGCACAATATCACACACATTTGAGAAATATTTTGGCCTATATTCTATATATATTGGGGCAAATACACTCACATTAGCTTCCTCTTTGATGTAATAAAGACTTAGTATCACTTATGACTCTTTCCTGAAATCGATAATTGAAACTTCGAGGTGAACAGCTTCCAAACAGATAACAATTGCCATATATGAAAGATAAACTATTAAGTTCGTACATCAAGTGTCGCATCGCCTGTTGTCGATGTTTGTCTAACCATTGCAATCGAAAAGTCATGGTGGATACCTTGTAAAGGGACACATAACTCTATGGTGTGCTCACTAGCCAATGTTCGGCCGGTGAGGCGAGTCGATTTCTGTGCAACGTTGCATTTATTCATCTGAACTTCGTGTTCATATAGTAATCTAGATGCGTAATAATTTTGAGAATACATTATACGGTATTTCTGAGGGGCTGATAATATTCTTTGAGAGAAATGCATATGTATTTTAGAGAAGTGTTGCGTGACATTGGTACCTCTGCTACTTGAGACAAAGGACTACATAAAGCAGTCCTTGTTAATTCAAATATCTTCACAAAATCTAGTTTCCTACTGAGATGATGTAGGATAAGGACTTTAGGTCTCCCCATTTTGGATTAGATAATATAAATCAATCACACTTACTGCTTATTTTCCAGGACTGTTCCCTTTGGATTTCTGAAGCAAATATGAAGGAACCTTTGAACAAGGCCGTACCCAAAATTCAGCCGGGACAAATTGATGACACTTGATTGAAGTCATCACCAACACCACCAAGATATAAACAATTTCCTCTTGGATATATTTGATAATTTGATACGATCCCATGATGCAAGTTTGTTTCGTGGAATGTGGCTTTTCTTTCATGCTTCTATGGCATTTTCACAGGAAAATACTTTGTATTGTGCTTTAAACCTGATGTTCAGAAGATTTGAGAATGATAAATTTTGGGAACAAAATATTGTGGAGGTACCACTATTATAGAGGGTTTTTCTATTACCTATCACCGCTTTCAACGGCTTTTTCCCAGAGACATTTGACAAAGACAACATTGTGCCCAGATCAAAGACAGAAAAGATATCATGATTTCATATAGAAATCAAATTATTATATCCAGTTAATGTAAACAAAGATGTCTTTTGACAGTGACTAAGTACAATGTGTCCCTTTTCACCCAGCACTTATCGGTACCTGTCCCTTGTTAATGGATATTATG